AAACGAAAACATATGCATACTAAACATATGCAGTAGAGCTTTTAAATGAAATCAAGACACAGCTGTCCTATATTGCTTGTTTTTTACTTGTTTTTTTACTATATTACTTTTTACTATATTACTTGGTTTTTATACATTTGTTCTTCCATTCTGGTTGTTTTTGCTGTTAATCTGCCATTAGTTTTGCAATATAATTTCCTGTGGTAAATAATGAATAAAGGTGAAAAAAAAGGTTAACCTGAAAACGTCTCTGCAACGTGCTACAAACATTTAGTTGGTATGTTGTCACAACGTTATAATAGCGATGTTGTCACAACATTGCAGTAAAGTTGTGGATATGTCGCGACAACGTTCCAGCAACGTCCTATGTGACGTTCTGACAACGTCGTAGCTGAATTTCACTTTGGAAGTCGCTACTACGTAACATGCGACGTTCCTGCAACATCACAAGGTGTCAGAAAATACGTTGCGACTACATTGTTGCAACGGACCTGTGTTAGTAGGGATGTATTGATATGGTAACAGTAAAGAGAGTAATTGGTGGTATTGTAAAACCACTACAATATATTTTTAATTTGTCTTTCCAGGAAGGGGTTTTCCACAAAAAATGAAAGTAGCAAAAATTATCCCCATTTATAAATCAGGTGAAAAGCATTGTTTTACAAATTATAGACCAGTGTCGGTACTCTGCCAGTTTTCTAAGATACTGGAAAAACTATTTCTAAAAAGACTTGATAACTTTGTGGATAAACATGATCTGTTGGCAAATTGCCAGTATGGGTTTAGAAATAACAGATCAACAGTTTTGGCATTGATGGATTTAATGGAAGAAATAACTGAATGTATGGATAACAAGAAGTATGCACTTGGAGTTTTTCTAGATCTAAAAAAAGCATTTGATACTGTTGACCACAACATTCTAATAATCAAACTGGAGAAATATGGGTTTAGGGGTGTGGTATTGGATTGGATAAAAAGCTATGTGATGAATTGACAGCAATATGAACAAATAAATGAGTTTAAATCTAAATTGATGGATACTGAATGTGGAGTACCTCAAGGATCAGTATTGGGACCAAAAATGTTTATAATGTATATAAATGATATTTGTAAAGTATCGAAGATACTAAAGTTTGTAATTTTTGCAGATGATACCAATAAACTTTGTTCAAGTGGGGAATTTCAACAGGTTGTGGAGGTGATCACACAGGAGTTAAAGATATTAAAGACGTGGTTTGATAGAAACAAATTGTCCTTAAATTTAAATAAAACAAAATTTATGTCATTCGGAAACTATAAGTAAAACATTAACATTGAAATTTGTGTTGATAATGCACATCTAGAAAGGGTTGATACCATAAAATGTCTTGGTGTGATCATTGATCATAAGGCCTGTTGGAAATCACACATCACTTATGTGAGGGGAAAGTTAGCACGGGGCATTGCTGTCTTGGGGAAAGTAAAACATTTTCTGGATAGGAAAACATTATATATGTTATATTGTGCTTTACTATTACCATACCTTACAAGTGATAACCTATAGGGCATGTTGTGATCCGTGGGGGAAACCGGAGTACCCGCAGGAAACCCACGCATGCATGGGGAGAACACGCAACTCCCCGCAGAAAGGCCGCAGCCGAGTTTCGAACCTGCAACCTTCGTGCTGCGAGGCAACAGTGCTAACAACTGTGCCACCGTGCAGTTGTACTGGACCAGACAGCACATAAACTCCATGTTCACATTTCCAACCAAACACCTACAGGTTCTTTACATGCTGCTGGTTGCACATGTTACAATACCAAGGTGTCTTTTTGCTGGGAGGCAGTCATTCCAAGGCAGAGCGTGTGAAACCATGTTGAACAATTTCCACGTTGAATCTTAACAAGGACAAAGAAATGCAATCACATTACCTTTGTTACATGGCACTTAATTAAAATATATTTTTTAATCAATTTCATGCCATCACTGTTAATCTTTACTACAAATGATCAGTTAAAATTTACAACATTAGTATTAGTACACATGTTTAGCTCTTCTCATGTCACATATTGATGGAATGGATCTTTTTTTACATAGGTACTACCAAATAAATGATTAGAGGGGCAAATGATAAATAGCTTCAATTTTCATTAAACCATATATAGCAATGTTTCCCAACCTTGAGTACCTGACACCTAGAGGTGCTGAAAAAAATCGATTCAAGTCTGAATCGGGATTCTTATTTATAAAGATTCAGAATCGATTCACAAAGGTTCAGAATCGATTCCAAGAACTCAAATATTTGGCATGTTACAGGTTTGAGATGCACTTTTTTGATCTTTGTTAGGAGAGTCAGTACTCCGTTTACTTTTGTGGGCCCATAAATTGAGATGATTTATGTTTGAATCTGCTGATAAGAGGGCACTTGAATGTAGTTTTTTCCATACTCAGAAATTTGAGATATTCTCATATTTATTTTCTAAGTTGATAAATGAGTACTCAGGATTACTCATGTAACTTGTTTCTACACATACTTAAAAAGTATTTGACCGTATTACTTTCAAAGCTACTGTTAGGTAACTACAGATTTGTTATATTTTACAAGGTAAGCAAAAATAAATGTTGCCGTTTGGTCAAAAGATTGCTTCTGTTTACAGTTTTAGAATCACTTTATTTTACATTGTAAATTTGCATTTTTGGAGCACGACCAGTCTAAAGTCAAATAAAGTGTCCCATAGCTTTAACTAACTTGTACAACTAAGTAGTTCTTCCTGGAGCTGACACTCTTTGTTAATACTGATTGTGAATTGATTTAAATTGAGAATCGAGAATCGATTCTGAATTGAATTGGCACCCCAAGAATCGGAATCGAATCAAGTCAAATCGTTAGTTGCTCTAAGATTCGCATCCCTACTGACACCCTAATGGGTTCCCCACAAGACTGCAGGGGGTCCACTCACTTTTTTTTTGTCTGTGATGAAGTTGTGAGGTTCTAAAGATGATATTTTTCTAAATTAAATTTATAAATTGCTCAAGACACAAACAATTGTACAATCAACACGGTGTATTAGAGTTACAACCCCTTCTGGATATATAAAATGTATAATTATTCACTTTGATGTGTGAGTGTGCGTAAGGACTGTGTTTGTAAGGTGCTTGGCTCATGTTGGACCCAAACAAGAGGGTGCTTGTGGGAAAGATGCTGTGAACCGCTGCTCTAAGGTCATTCATCCACTCACTCACACATAAAAGCAGGGGTAGGGAACCCTGGTCCCGGAGAGCCACTATCTAGCACACTTTAGAGGTTTCCTTGCTTCAACACATTTGCTTCACATGTTCAGCAGCTCATGAGGCTCTACAGAAGCATGTTAATCACCTATTATCAGGTGTGTTGATGCTGGTTAGCCTCTAAAACATGCTGGATAGCAGCTCTCCAGGACTATGGTTCCTTATCCCTCCATTAAATGCACAATAATTAACATTTTGATTTTTTAATATCATTTTCACTGTCCCTTAAAAGACAAAAACAACACTTACAAGCACCATATAAGGCCACAACAAATTTCGAGTAACGTGTATGTCTGTTATCACACATTCATAGGACTTCAGGGCTTGTTTTTGCTGACATTCAACAGACTTTTACCTGTGGTCACAACACTGCTTTCCACTCAGTGTCTTCCTTCTGTGTTGGTCACACTGTGTTGGTTATTTTTCAGAAAAATTGTGTTAGACAATAGTAACGTCACATATCAACATGCTACCCCGGAGTCTGCTTACAGCACACGACTCCTGCATCTTTTTGATCGCAAACTAAACTACTCCTCCAGTCACGGGGGAATTAAACTTTCATGTTTTTAGAGTTTTTTTCGCGAGGTATTCTTCAAGCTGCTCCGTGTCTGCCGTTATTCTCGGCTCTCTTTATGTTTTTGACGGCGCAATGGTGGCGGTGTAGACGACAGCGGCGTCCTGACCAATCACAAGCTTGCTTTGTCCGTCTCGACGGACGGATGTTTAGAAAAGAGAGCTTGACTCCATCCATCCTTGCGGAGCTCTCCAGCAGACCCGCAAGGGCGTTGCGTGTCTCCGCACTGACGCAGACGGAGAAGCATGAATCAGGCTTAAAGCCTGAGCCTATCTTTACAGTACGCTCTAATGGGAAACAGGTTTCAACACAAACGGTTGTTTTCCGCTTGGTCCTAGAGCTCAACCAGTGTCAATTTAATATAGCGTAATATTGTTTTTGGATGGTAAAAAGTTCAGGGGTCAAAACTTGACTTTGGAAAAAGTGTGTGTGTGTGTGTGTGTGTGTGTGTGGGGGGGGGGCATGTCCCCCCGTCCCCCCCAAAATTACGTCCATGGTTACAGGTATATTTTAAACGTTTCGAATCAGTGGGTGCTCTTGTGGGAGCAGATATCCTGTTGAAGCACACCAACCACTGTCAGTGTAAATGAAAGTCCACACGGAAAGCCTCCAAAGCACATTGTAGGACACTGGCCAGACACGTGTACCTGCTAGAGATGCACAGAGATGAAGATCTGGGCCGATATGGAGATAATAATTATTCATGTAATAATTTCACACACATTCATGCTCTGAGATGATTACAATCACAGTCACAGGACTAAAGATTTACCGCATAACCATCTTCGGTTATTATCAGCAAAGTTTTACTCATCGAACCAGTACTGAAATGACTAACACTAGCTGATACCGATGTTGACGCCGATATGCGGTGCATTCCAAAAATTAAACTCTCAGCATTACAGTATTTATATATGTAGTAGTGGCAAAAAGACTTTATGTGTTTGATGGACATTTAGATTAAAGCCAAAAAGACTTTTTTTTAGATTTGGCTGAGTGATTGTTGGCCTGCCAGCCTTCACTGGGAACCACACTGTGCACAACAGCCCAAGGGTTTGCACAGCTTGTTGGTGCTGGATGCACATTTATATTCAAACCCCAGTATAAGAGGTGGGCTTTCACCACACACACACAGACACACACACACACAGACACAACACAGAGATCTGTTGTATTTATTAAAACGTTAAACAGTGACTCACAGAGAGGAAACCATAGCAGCCACATGTAAACTAGCAGCTGTACAGTGAGGTATGGGTGTGATGTTCTCCATCAGAACTGAACACTCTTAAGGGTGGAGACATGCACTCGCTTCAACAACTACAACATGTCACCGACTTCTCCACAAAATTATTTATGCAAAAATGTCACCGTTCACAGATGTATGATTAATGCACCGGGTTTCAGGGACGGACCAGAACACGTTCTTCAGTCACGTTCCAGCCCAAGAACTTCCAAATACATTTGTGTAGTTTCATGGGAAAAAGGACTTATTGGTTTCATGTCCGACTGTTTAGATTCTCCCCGTTTGCCTTGTGGTCGGACGTCAGCAGTTCTCAGTGTGGTGCTGCACGTTGCTACAAATCCTGAGAAACACCCGAGTCTACCGTTTCAACTCCAACAAGTCCTTATGAACCGTACAAACACTCATAGTAATGAGACACCAGTGCAGGCAAACATCACAACAGTCAAGACAGGTTGAACGCCGGCCGTTGCGTTGCTCTCTGCAGCCACTAGAGCGCAGTGCTGCAACACAAATCACACTCCCAACACCAAAGAGGGAGAACACCAAAGTTGAGCAGAAACAAGGCAGCCGCGGATCCACCCTAGTTTGAAACAACATTTTTACATTTCATTTGAAGGATGCTTTGTTTTCCTTCCTGTTGAGGGCAGAAAAAAACATGGATCTTTAATTTAAAAAACAAACAAAAGTCTTATGAATCATTCAGATTAAGTATAATATATCTGCTAGATAGAAAAATAGATGATTTCAAAATAAGATTAAACTTAGAAAAATATTTATAATCATATAAACACACAGGTTATGGTCATGGGACCCATGCTTTGTTAGATCCGTGTAGACTGAGACGCTGACGCACTATCAATGTCCTCTAGGACCAATAATAATGTTTGGGTGTATGGAAACTGTGTTAATACACTCTGGGCTGTCTTGGTGGCTCTGGTGAGTATGCATGTTAGGAGAGGCAAGCTGAAAATTATCAAGAGTCTTCAGGCCAGAGAAGAAGGTCACCAGACGGAGCACTTGTCCGTCGGATTCATTGGAGAACCTTTGGGACAGTGGAAAACACGGGAGAACTCGTCAAACTGGGAGACGCTGCCAATCACCCTGCAAAGAGATAGACCAGGAATTCAGACTGTTGCGTGGAGACTGCTGAAGAAAACGTCAACAAAGTGGCCATCTTCTGCGTAAACAGAGAGAGTACCTGTAGTGCTCTGGAGCATGCTTGTCAGTTAGCAGCTGCAAATAGATGGACTGGGATCTTCTCTTCATACACCAGTTCTGAAAGACAAAATCGGTTCAAAAGTCAGCGTAGGACCATCGTGGATGTTTAAATACCCTGGATGCTGCTTTTGCCACTAGTCCACCCAGAGCCTTTGTGAACAGTTTTAAGGGAAACACTGGGATGTTCACCCGTCTGAAGTGTCTAGATGGCTTCAAAGGGTTTGTTTCCACCGCAGGAACCTTTTCAAGGTTCAAGCTAGTTTCCCTCCTCTGCATTTCCCCGGTTAGACACGGGTTACGCGGGGAGAAAACAGCCCTGGTAAGCAGGTCTGTGATACCCCACGTTTTAGGGCGGAGACTGCGATGTAAGTAAGCTCCGATTTGTCTGACTTTTCATAAATTTTATTTTCACCTCGATAAACAGCAGCCCTACTTTCTCTATTCGAGTTTGCAACATAAAAAAGCCCGAACACAAACACTTTCCATGTGGGAAATCAGGATCACATTGGATCTCAAAAACATGTTCAAATGAAGCCGCTTCTAAAACTTTACTTTTGAGTTGTATGTTCTGGTTACATGTCCTCTCTTTTAACAGTGCCACCACCTGGACACGAGTGGAATTGTTGAACTGCGGTGCAGAAACAGTGGATTCTCGGGTCACGTCAGTGCTAAAAGGGTTCCAGCCTGCATACTGCAAACTTAACAATAAATAAAACCTGTATAATGTTTACTTTTACTGAAAACAAGAGACTTACTCTCATTAGGGCCATAAATCCATTATATGTTGAATAATGTTTACTGCAGCTGTATTAAAGTTATTTCCACATGACTGCACCCTGGAAAGGTTGTGTATGTGTAAATCCACTGCTCACAAAATAAGACATCCTAGATCTGAATGCATGAAATATTCTTATTAAATAATTTGTTTTTTTACATAGTTGAATGTGCTGGCAACAAAATCACACAAAAATATCAATGGAAATCAAATGTACCAACCCATGGAGGTCTGGACTTGGAGTCACACTCAACATTAAAGTGTAAAAACATACAACAAGCTGATCCAACACAAGTCAGAATGTGTGGCCTCCACATGCCTGTATGACCTACAACACCTGGGCATGCTCCTGATGCGGTGGCAGATCTTTCCCCAGATCTGGACTAAAGCATCCACCAACTCCTGGACCGTCTGTGGTGGATGGAGCCAGAAATGATGTCCCAGATGTGCTCAGGTGGATTCAGGTGTGGGAAATGGACGGGCCAGTCCACAGCGTCGATGCCTTCATCTTGCAGGAAGTGCTGACACACTCCAGCCACATGAGGTCTAGCATTGACACACATGAGGAGGAACCCAGGGCCAACTGCACCAGCTTATGGTCTCACAAGAAGTCTGAGAATCTCATCTTGGTATCTGATGGCAGTCAGGCTACCTCTGGGGAGCACATGGAGGGCTGTGTGGTCCCCCAGAGAAATGCCACCCCACACCATTACTGACTCACTGCTAAACTGGTCATGCTGGAGGATGTTGCAGACAGCAGAACGTTCTCCACAGCATCTCCAGACTCGGTCACCACTGTCACATGTGCTCAGTGTGAACCTGCTTTCACCTGTGGAGAGCACAGGGAGCCAGGGGTGAATTTGCCAATCTTGGTGTTCTCTGGCAAATGCCAAACACCCTGCATGTTGTTGGGCTGTAAGCACAACTCCCACCTGTGGACATCAGGCCCTCATTCCACCCTCATGGAGTTTGTTTCTCACTGTTTGAACAGACACATGCACATTTGTGACCCGCCGGAGGTCATTTTGCAGGGCACTGGCAGTGCTCCTCCTGTTAATCCTTGCACAAAGGCAGAGGTGGCGGTTCTCCTGCTGGGTTGTTGCCCTCCTACGACCTCCTCCACGTCTCCTGGTGGAGCCTCCATGCTCTGGACACTACGCTGACAGACAGCAAACAGTCTTGCCACAGCTCGCATTGATGAGTCATGCTGGATGAGCTGCGCTACCTGAGCCACTTGTGTGGGTTGTAGACTCGGTCTCATGCTACCACTAGAGTTAAAGCACCACCAGCATTCAAAAGTGACCAAAACATCATCCAGAAAGCGGAGGAACTGAGAAGCGGTCTGTGGTTGATTTTGTTGTTTTTATATATGTATATACAAATACTTCAGATATATGTATATATATATGTATATATATATATATATATATATATATATATATATATATATATATATATATATATATATATATAAATTGAGATACACCATTTGAATGCTATTTATTCCTCATATTCACAGGTCATGGTTGCAGGAAAAGGTTCTGTGAGACTTCCAGGTTAAACTTGGACTACAGACAAGGATCAGAGTAAAGAGGAAGATATTGTAGAAGTTGTTTGCATAAATGGGACTGTTGGCTATAATTTACACCTGTATTATCACCAAGGTGATCGGACAGCACATGAAACAAGGTTTTTGCTACCAGTCTATAAACACCACACCCTAATGCATTCAAGAACATCTGTCCTGACTGCAGTCACACTTTTCTTACCCTCAACCAAAGGATTCCCAAAACTTTCCAGAACTGACCAAAGAATTTACAGTTTCTTTCTGAAGTCTTTTTAAAAACAAAGATAAAAAAACTCAAGTTTTTAGAATTTCAGTCGTCAAATATTCAAGTGTACTTATCCAAAGACCAACAACCACAACCAAACTTAATAAGCCATTGTTACACACACACACACGCACGCACGCACACACACACACACACACACACACACACACACACACACACACACACACACACACACACACACACACACGCATGCACGCACGCGCACACACACACACACACACACACACACACACACACACACTAGGAGTACATAAGTGTACTTATAACAAACACAAATACTTCAGAGATAGGATCAAACATTTAACTTAAATATTTGCTAAACCTAATATACTCTAACATATTTGGCTTATATCTGGATCTTTTTCTCATATTTTTCAAGAAGTAAGACTATAAGTAAGTCATTATGCATAAAAAGCATGTCTGCTAGCCTGCTGTGCAGGTTCGAGCGCCGCATACAATTTGGTTGAGGTGGTTGAATTGCCTGGAGCTTTATATTCATGACATTTTAGATGGATCTAAGAACATATTCCTGATGTTTATGACACTTCCCCAGGGCAAGAGTTGTTAAAAATGGTCTTCAACATTCAACGTTGCATTTTAAAGTGCTTCTAGATGTTGCCACTGTTACGTTAAGCTATGAATATCAATGAAACAATTGAGTTTCAATGGTGACTTGTAATATTTAGAAGAATCGGGGGTGGTCCTGTGGTTCTGTCATCAACACTCGACTCCTCCAATAGTTAATGTGCCTGTTAGGTAACCTCACAGCTCCTGCATGCTCCTACTGATCCAGCTCCATTTGAAAGAGGCAGCTAAAATGATTTATTATGTAAATATACAGAAAGATTGTATTAAGAGACTTCTGTACCTGTGCAAAGGCAATGAAGAGCAACTGTTCATGAGTATATTTTAGGCCAGGCAGGGGTCTCTCTGGACCATGTTCCCTCACCCATTTCTGATATGCCTGCAAAGAAAAAGAAGGATGTGGACTGAGTGAATGGGCCACATACAAAACAAAATATAACCCCTAACCCCGCTAGTTAAGATTTAAGTCTGAATACAACAACCAGATCTTATTTATTATCATGTTGTGATCGACTAAAGGAAATCCAGAGACCTTCGTTAGAAAAATGCAGTATTCATTATATTTGGCTGTTCAAGGAAATAAATGATTTCAGTAAAATGACTTTCATGTAAAACTGGCAGTAAGACATGTCCACTCATTGTAAAATCTATTTTTTAAAGCCACATAGAGAATTTGAACGGTGTCGGTTTTTACTTACATAGTAGGATAACTTCAGTCCGCCCATGTCTGCAATGTTCTCCCCCAGCGTCAGACGGCCATTCACCTGCACAGACACAAGGTTTAAAATTTCTGAGTTTTACTAAGTTAAACCAGCTTTTTATAACTTTAGACCATCCTTACGTGCTCAGGGAATGCTAACTCAGCTGAGCCTGGAAAGTGGGCTTGACTGAACAAATGGGGATTCAATAGGTGCATTCAGCCATTTTTTTCTTGTTGCAGTTCAGTAACAAAGTCTCCAAACAAAGTTTCAGTTTGTTTATAATTTATTGTCATGTACTTGCCACCCTCCCCCCTGAAATTGACTCACATTTCTCACACCAACTGAGAACCGAGACGAGTTCCAGATGCTCACGATTTCTCCATTTTGAGAGAAAGATTATCTTGCAATTTCCTGAGCATTTTCGGAATTTAAAGATCAAGTTCACTCATTTTGTCAATAGTGGTCTCTAGAATAAATGATTGCCTTGTGAGTCAAACTCTGTGGGAAAAAAGTTCTCATGCTCCTGAGTGGGAATTAGAAATTGGCCAAAGGAGAAGAGCGCAGAAGATGATTTCTTATTTCCTGATATTCGAATACCTCTCCTCTGATTGGATAACTGCAACACAACTCTATCACTGACTTGCAACTCTGATGTTTTATCTCCACAAATAACTCAAACCGGAAGGTCTGCCACACTAATGCTAACGGTTAGCTTCTGCTAGCCGAGACATTCTCTGCTGTTTCCTGGACGTTAAACCAACAACAGCCTTCTCTGTCACGAGCCAAGATGGGCGAGTCCATGAATGTTAATTTTCAGTGTGACGTAGATCAGACTGATGTTTTTAATTTGAGTTTCCCTGTCTATTTTCTCTCTGCGGCTAATGCAGGAAAAAGGAGTAGAAGACTTTTACGCTAGCCTGTGTATAAAACTCAGCGTGACCAATTATATTTAAAAATAACAAATAAAAAATGGTATCTCAGTGAAATAGCTCAGTGACTTAAGCAAAGAAATTGAGAGCCTTCCCATTTTTTTCAAAACATTTTGGTAACTTCTTCATGAGTAACAATTTGTCAGAATAATACTTTTACTGATTCCTTCATCTAATTTGTTGCAAAATTAATGATGTCAGTATCTTCCTTCATTTCCCACTCACAATAAAAACTGGAGACAGATAAGTACTCTTCAGTCTTTATTGGGTTGTAAGGCTAATAAAACATTACTAGACCATTTATTATACTGGTGTCCATAAACTCAGTGGTGCAGTTCTTCAGAGTTCTGCATGAATAAGGAATATAAATGCAGAAAGCTCAAATGTAAACAAGAGGAAACTGAGATAGTATAACTTTTAGTTTCTGGTAGTAACAGTTTAACAGTCTACTGGTAGGATAGGTTAGTTGTATAGATCAAGATTATTTTTGGAAGGTGGGAAAAATTGGTGCTTATTCAAAAAACAGCACACACAAACAGCTGGTCTGATAGGTGGAAAATCCGAGTCCACATAAGCCTGTAGAGTACGAACCGGCAGCGGTGTGACCAAGTCACTGCTTTGCAAGTCACAAGTAAGCCACAGGTCTTTCCAGTCAAGTCTCGAGTCAAGTCCAAGTCAAAGACAACCAAGTCCAAGTCGAGTCCAAAGTCAATGATCTGGAAGTCCAAGTCAAGTCCAAGCCCTTTACTTTGAAATTTCAAGTCATAATCAAGTCATCTGTCTAACTTCAATTTAATGACAATGATAATAAATAAATTCCAGAAATAAAGCTTCTTAAAGCTTAATTTATTTGCTCAAACAAGCAGAGAGTTAAACTGAAACTGATTATAAACAAAGTGCTGCTGCATTTAGCAGCACAAGACCCCAGAACCAAGAATGATTCACGATTTTTTGTCCATGTCGGGTCACTTTTGTGCTAAAATATCAAATATGCTCAAGTCATCATCAAGTCTACAGATGCAAGTCGATTCAAGTCGCAAGTCACTGGCTTTCAAGTCCGAGTCAAGTCGTAAGTCTATGTAGATTTTATCAAGTCAAGTCAGAAGTCATTAAAATAATGACTCGAGTCTGACTCAAGTCCAAGTCTTGTGACTCGAGTCCACACATCTGCGAACCAGGCACAGACGATACAACCTCCTCTGATCTTTGGAGGCAAAAGGACGATGATTGAAAAGCCAAAAGCTCTACGGTCATAGAACCATAGGTCAGCGGGATGACCTTATGGTCACAAATGCAGCATTTGGATGCAGAGCAACCCTAGACCTGTCTGTTGAAAATTGCAGACAGGAAGAGTGAACCAAAAGAGCTTGAAGATTGCCCACCCGCTTAGCCGATGCCAGGGCTAAGAGCAGTGCTCTCTTATAAGACAGGAACTTCATGTTGAATGGCTCAACTGGCTCAAATGGAGGACCACAGAGGGCCTCTAGAACCAAACTGAGGTCCACAGATGGAGCAAAAAGTCTAAAAACAGGCCTCAGCTTGTGAATTCCCTTCAAAAATCAAAGTTAAAGGGAAACCCCTAAAAAAAGTGCACTCTAGCCGACCAAGAGCAAAAAAAAAAAAAAAAAAAAACCCTAATAAAATGGGACCTCATTTGGGCGAGAGGAGCCGGCCAGTCGACTTCGAGGTTCTTCACCGCTCGTCGGCAAAGCGGAAGAAAAGAAATGTCCTCCCAAAGTTCGGGAATTGAGGCAGCGGTAACAGCAACACAATCCACCGAAAAGAGAGTTTCCTAGTCCTCAGCAGGTCGTGACAGTTTACGTCCAGCACGCCCTCCTCATCCTCCTCTGGAAGAGAGAGCTGGGAAGTCTCCAGGTCGGACTCGGTCAGCCTGTCTGTCACCTTCATGTGATCTGCTCAGCTAGCAATGGGGAACTCGATCACAAGACCGCCCACATCGGAAATGTGCAAAGCCACAGGAGCCAACTCGGAGAGCAATGGAGCTGACGACAGAACACCTTCGGATCCGAGAGCACTCTGTAGGCATGAAGAACCCACATGCAGACAGGACAGGCCTCGTGGAGGTACTTCTTTTTGGAGAAAAAAAAACCACAACCCTGAGGACAGGGACGCGAAGCAGACTTTCACCTAGCGGAGTCCAACACGGTACTCGCGGCGAGACACAGAGCAGAGCGGCACAGGCAAAAGAACACGGTGGAAGAAAGCTAAAAGAGCCATGAAAAGGTAGCGCTCGGTGGGCGAACGCTGACCAGATGGCAGCAGAATCAACACCAGCGAGCAGTTAAGCTCATTTTTTAGTAGCATAGCTAACAATAGTTTATTTGTACTCGCGTGTTACCAGCGAGGTGAAGAGCGTAATAACTGAGAAATGCCGGTGGGTGCTGGCCCCACCCTCCACCTACAAGCCCCCAGCATCACGCTCATTTGCCTTACAGGTGTGATTAGATGTGTCTTCAGCCAGGCCACATAACATATGTCCCAGGACTGTTGTACCGAGTGAATAGAGTGAAAGGGAAACATGTATTTTGTGGTTTGGGTCCTACAATGTGTGGTGTCTGGCCACAAGGCAGTGCCCCACACAAACCGATTTCTCACCCAAGCATTCCCAAGTCAGATGAGAAATTGAGCAAAACTTGGCAAGCTTAAACGTGACTTCAGAGTAAACAAACGTGTCGGAGGAGGAGGAGCATCCGTCACGTTTCTCTCTGATTGACCTAATGTCAGAATTAACAAACAGCATGCTTGTTTATCCAGAAAAAGGGACAGAGACAATCCAACGTGTTTAATGATGGTAGTTGTGATATCCGTCTGACCTGACCAGAGCACACTTAACACACCTCAAATGGCAGGAGCATCTGGTAAAATTGTTTTTAGAGCAGTTACGGTAATCTGGCGTATTGTTCAGATTGTAGGAAAGGAAGGATCAGGTCAAAATGAGCACAGTTATCCAACCACGTGAACCAGGCCTAAGAACATGAAGCTGAAATTTTCAACAACTAGAACATCAATTTATCAAAGCAGGAAAATAATTTTCCGAAATCATATCTAGGGATGCACCAATCCGATCACGTGATCAGAAATCAGGCTAAAACATATGATTTCCTAAGGATTGGGAATTGGGTGGAATCACCTGTGTCCTTTTAGTTGTAATCTGCCTCCTTAGACCCTGCTCAACACTCAGCTCAGTTCACTGCAGCCACGAGGACGAAAACCCAAAGACAATGAAAGATACATGTAAAAAAAAAAAATAGAAACTCTCCATTGACAGCAAAAATGTCAAAGTCAAGATAATCTATTATCGCATTGGAGGACTGATCTGTGGTTGCAAACGATGAGTTTTAAAGTCTCCTGGAGCCTCTTGTGCTGAGAAAAGTTAGCCTGCCGGCTGTGGCTTGCCTGTGCCGTCACGAGAACATGCATTGCTCAATATAGCAGCGTATTAAATAAACAATTTGATTTAAGAGCAATGAGGCAACTTTTAAATGTTTTTGTAATATTAAAGGTGGAATATGGAAAATTTTTTAAAAAGCTATATTAAAAAAATATATCTCCACGGGCCATTTAGAGGGGTGCAGAATGAATGTGCAGTTTTTCCTTTTAAAAGCTATATTTAAAAAAATAAATAATCAAATTTTAATTTTGTCGGGCACGACATTGGGTTTATGTTTTCAACTACCAGCCACTAGAGGGAATCGTTGTGCTAAAAAGTCCACTCGTCAAGGCGACTGTGTAAAATGGCGGACTTGACAAGTCAAGCAGCTGATTCTGAGACCAGAAGATGTTCTAACGGCAAATATTGTTCTAAAATAAACTTATTAGTAGAAACGAGTCCTTACCCTGTATGGTTTTCCTCTGGACATGGTGCTGGCTGGTCAATTCACGTGTCAGTGGTGAACCAACACTCCAATGGCTGGAAAATGTTTCCTGTTATTGCAGCTACCACCCCTAAACACTAGATGTCGCCAGAGAGTCTGTGTTCCATATTCAACCTTTAACATGTTTCTCATCAGTGAATGAGTAAATTTTCTTTGCAGATAAACTAAGAAAATTACATAAATAAAAAATTAAGAATTACACAAATAATAAAAAGCATACTCCTCCTTGAACCGTCACCTTATCGTGGTGGAGGAGTTTGAGTGCCCTAATGATCCTAGGAGCTATGTTGTCTGGGGTACTTTGTGCCCCTGGTAGGGTCTCCCATGACAAATTGGTCTTAGGTGAAGGACGAGACAAAGAACGGTTCAGAGGATCTATCATGGATGTAAATTCAAAGAGTCGGAGTACCCGGCCCGGAGGGTTACTGGGGTCCCACCCTGGAGCCAGGCCTGGGGTTGGGGCCCGTGAGCGAGCGCCTGGTGGCCGGGCTTTCGCCCATGGGGCCCGGCCGGACTCAGCCCGAATCAGATACATGGGCTCATCCAACTGTGGACCCACCACCCGCAGGAGGAACATGAAGGGTCCGGTGCTCCTGGACGCCTCCCTGGGGAGGTGTTTCGGGCATGTCCTGCCGGTAGGAGGCCCCAGGGTCGACCCAGGACACTTTGAGAGGTTACATCTCCAATCTGGTCCGGGAGCGCCTTGGGGTCCTGCCGGAGGAGCTGGTAGACGTGCCTTGGGAGAGGACGGTCTGGAGCTCCCTAGTTGGGATGCTGGCCCGCGACCCGGACCCAGATAAGCGGAGGAAGACGACGGCGAATAAAAATCATAAAGAACAGCTTGGATATATTCTCCCTTTTTTAAAGTATTACTGTTCGGGACTTGGAATTGGCAGATACTCAAAAGTAAATGAGATGGACTTATGGGAAAAAAAAGTGATAGGAACATCCCAAATCAAATCAAATGGAATGCATCATGCTGTGAACGCACAAACTCATATAATTGTTGAGATGAGTCATAAGCTTGGAACTCTGGCTGAGATTCAGGCTCTGGCACAGAAGATGGATTCCATCAAGGAGCGAGTTGACAAATCAGCACGGATTGGGATAGATTAATTACGCCATTATTGGATCTAGAGGGGTTGAAGACCAACAGAACACTAAGGCAGAGAGGAAATTATCTCTGTCTGTCCCCAAACAATTCTTATCTGAATCTGGTGCCCTTGGAGCCTTTGAGACTGAAGTGTAAACTCCCCTCAGAAGAAATGTGGAATGCTGCTGTCGCTATGGAAATTCTTTCTCCCTATCCCAGCCTGGGCAGGACTGTGACTGGTGAAGACCGTGGAACCGTATCTAGGAGTCAATGTGCCCTCTAACCCATTATCTCCCTCCCCTGTCCAAACGGAGGTGATGAGCGCTGCTCCATGCGGCTGCAGGCACTGAAGTGAGGAGAGTCCCAACCCTACCTCCCCACCTAGAGGACACTTATGTTGTGTAATGTCTGAAGTCTGTTTGCATATCTGTCTGAGGTGTGTTTTGCATAGCAAAGCTACCCTCTCTGTTAAGGGTAACTCTGAAGTGCCTTTTTTTCCCTCCCCCTGACTCTATCCTCATATAAACCCTCTCGATCTATAACGGTAGCGCGACTTGGGCTGCGAATGACCACAGTCACCAATTCTTGTCATGTGTCTATGTATGTATGCCTGATCTCAGAATTGTGTGTACTGAAACTCTAATTTCCCTCTGGGATTAATAAAGTATTTTTGAATTTGAATTGAATTTGACTATATGTACAAAAATAAAATTAGGTATACTAAATGTTTATTTTGTAGCTGTTGCTTGTGTTGTTGTAGAAATGCAGTGTTCAGCTAATGATGTGCACTGTGTGCATGAAAGCCCACCCTCTGATTATACACGGTAAAGTTGTCGTAGAGCTTGACGATGCATTCAGCCTTCTTCTGGAACTTTCTGTAGGAATCCACAGTCCACCATTGTTTAAGGTTGCCGTGGCGGTCGTACTGGCCCCCTAAGGACATGAACCATTGCATCACTAAGATATGGGGGGGCGAAAGGGCAGGGGAATGGTGAATGTTAGCACGAAGACAGCACAATCTATAACTTTGCTCCACAGTCTGAAGAGCTGCTTAGCATACCACCTTTTCTTTTTTTTTGTTAGATACACGAGCCAGTTATGTTCTGGACAAATCTTTTTTTACTGGGTGTACGTTTTTCCTGTAGATTTTAATTGGACTGTAGCTGTCTGTAGGGATCCGAAGTCAGTTCTGCACCACGGGTCCCCGGAAGAACGAAAAAATGAATGCAAGTTAATCGGGCTAAAAATGCCATTTTCTAATTCCGCTTGTTTTGTGCCATGGATTTAACATATGACGTATGTGAATTTTAAAGACACATTTTGGTACCATGAACAGGGGGGAATGCTTTTGGTTTTGTGTGAAAATAAGTCCAGAACTACAAATTCTCTCCACGAAAGTGACGTCATCGAACCAGACACGGAGAAAACTGAGGGAAAATGGCTGTAAGTTCAGCAAACTTCCCACAGGAGGAAAGAACCACCATAAATCTGGTCATTTGGTAAGTAGCAGCTATGCTAGGGGAGAGGAGATTATGTGGTGACGTCACATTTACGACGTGCTGATTTCTGGTGTGTAGTCATGCTAATTATGAACTTTTACAAGCTGATAAATCTCAAAGTACATGACTGGCATGGTCAAAACCCCCATCATTACTTTTCATTTAAATTGCAGTACAACATATGTGTGAACCAGTGTGTAAGGCAAAGCGGATTAGAAAATAACGTTTTTAGCCTCGCTGACTCGCATTCATTTTTTCGTTCTTCCGGGAACCCGTGATGCGGAAGTGACTTAGGCTCCCTATTGAAGTAAAATCTTATGGGGCAGCACTTCTGATTGGAAACCAAAGTTATAGTTTGTGGCACAAAATAACGTTTGCATTCCATTTGCCCAAAATATCCCCTTTGATTCAATAATTATTTGTAAATGTATTGGAGGTAGAACCTAAAACGTCTACAAACTGCAGATTTCTGTGTGATGGATTATGGATGGAGATGCAGTCGTTCTTACCCCAGTCATCATATCCATGCGTTAGTTCGTGTCCAATGATGGCGCCTATTCCTCCGTAGTTCAGGGACCTGAATGCAGAATGGAAATAGAGAACACAAATGAAACACAATTTTACAGCAGCAAACATTATTGAAAGTTCATAAATGAGCAGTTGAGTTTAGTGGTCAAAGCTAGCTAATGTGGATGTAACTGACATTCAGGGGCCATCTCTGAGCAGTTTTTTAAAATGGTGACAGAAAAATCTAAAGGCCATCTGTCGTTTTGATTACAATCCACACCCCTGACCACCTGATGGTGAGTGAGCATATTAATTAGCTGTTGTCTCTCTTGATGCATGCCCTTGGCTTCACTCAGAAAAATGTCACATCAGCGGAGAGCCTGAAGTTTCTACCAGATGACCATTAATGATGACTTGGAGTGCATCTGTGATGGGTCAGACCAGTGCAGGTGAACCTCTGCTTCAGGATTTCCCCCCACTGAAATAAGTGCTTGCAGCATATTGAAACCCCTAGTCGGAGATTCTTGCCAACGTTTGGTCGCTTTGCTTGGAGAAATGTTCTCTGATTTCAAAACTTCGTCTGAATCGGTGTTTGTAATTCCAGTCGGCAATGTGGTAGAAGAGCAAACAAAGAAAAGAGACAAAAGCAGAACTTTCTGGAAGGTGTGCTTCTCATTCTATCTGGAGAAAAACCAACACTGAAACATTATAGCTACAGTCAGGAATGGTGGTAGTCTGATCAGGGTGACCAGAAGCTTCCGGGGGAGCACAGTGGGGTGGGTCTATTCTGCTTTGGCCCCCAAAATGCCTTGAAACGGCCCTGGGTCTGGAACTGAGTTTTGAAGGTGATCAGGGCCCTCATGTATCAACTGTACTTATGCACAGATCTGTGCGTATTTTATGCGTAGGAACAAATGTATGCATTGTGTAGTATTCATTATTTGAGTGGAAATGTTCCTGAATATAGAAAACCTCAGATCACGAGTAGGAACAGCATATAGTGGTAGAACGGGGGAACCGCAACACCGAAGGACTCAGTAATCCACGCATGTTCTTCATCCTCAAATTATGACTAAATAAGGTTAAATGAAGGCATTCTTGTATGTAAATGACTGAGAATGGACACGAGCACCTGCGTACGCACAGGTGGGATTTATCATCGGACGATTGTGAAGCAACGTGTGTACAAGAGGCCACCGCATGTTTCATTAATCAGGATTTTGTACGAACATTCTAGTTTCCGTTCACAGGAAGGAATGTAGGATTATTTCTACAAACATTTGATGAATGAAGCCCTGAATTGTCAAATATATAAATTTCCCACACTTATAAATTATTGCTTAGCATTAATGAGTACTGTTATAAATCTACCACCATTTTCCTTTTCAAGCCCTTTGTTTCATTTTCTTGTTTTTTATTTGACCATTTTCCTGTCCTGTCCTGTCTTTCTCTTATCTTCCTTCATCTCCTCTTGGTTTTTCCTACTTCCATCTTTTTCATCCCATGAGTTACTTTGGAACTAAGCAGATCAAAGGGATCTACTGACTGAAAACAGCGGAATGCGCCACAGCACCAGTGAGGTGAAGTCACCAGAGCAGGAGTGATTAGCTCTACTGCGACGGAGCACGTCAGGCACGAATAAAAGACAGAAAGTACCAGAAAATATGACCAAACGTGAACGATCGTGTGTTAATTATATATTTTTTTGGTGTCACCACTTTGATAAAGTTACTGTGGCTGTGTGCAGGACGCAGCTTCCTGGAGTGCATCAACAATCAGTGCTCTGTGTCCTCTCCGCTCAAAACAAGCACCGCTATCCTGAGAGTCCATATAAGTAATGTAATATAGGTAGAAACAAGATCCCCCTTCTAGGGGAGCCTGTTACTCTCTCAGGGGAGCCGGGCTCCCCTTAGCTTCCCCGTAAGTGCAAATCACAGAAAAAAAGAGTTGCTCGGGTCGAGCAGGCTGCTACATGCGCGTTCACGCTCAGGCATAGCCCGTAGCATTTGCTATCCGTAGCTTTAGTCTTTGTCGCTGTTCCTAACGCCTAGTGACAAAGCTAGCTACATTTCTGAGGACCCTTAGCTACTTTCTGTAGAACTTTCTTCTAGATATTTCCTGCAAATTAGCAACAAAATAGCCATTTTCACTCCGAACCGTTCTTTGAACGTTGTTTCAGCTGTCATCAAGGATATAAATGTTACAGATACAAAGATCATCACTGGTGCTTTAGCTCACCTAGTAAGACGTTGGACTCCCGTGCAGAAGACTCGGGTTTAATTTTGTATGTCAACATAATTTGTTTAGAGTTTCTTTTTTACATTAATGGTATATTTTTTTACAGTAAGATGCCCACATTTTTATTTGAGACTCGACGAACGGCATTGAATTCACAGATAAAAAAGATGTGGGTTCAACTTTCATTTTGGAACAATTTTTCAAGCAAGGGAAGGGAATGATCTGAGCATGCAGGAGGACTGACCCATCATAAACCTTTGTCGGCTGTGCTGAAGAGAAATGTACAGAACCAAATTATTTAATTAATTAGCTGCACATTCTCCTGTCCTCCGGGCAGCATGCGTGCCTCGTGCACAAGCCTACTATTGAAGCTGCCGTTACGCTTTTGGCCTGAGGGGGCAATCGCAAGCACAAAAATTCAAAACTCCGTAAAGTCCCTTTAAGTTATAGCCTAGTTTATTTTCTTTATTTTACGCTAAAGGTTCAGTTCAGTTCAGTTCACTTTATTTCAAACATATACATTCACCAACATTTCATAAAATCATTCCACGCAATTGTTTGAAAAGGAGTAGGGAGAAGTGTAAACTTATTTAGCCCTACCCCCTCAGGTTTACATCCTCATCATCAAAATTTAAACAACAAAACAGTTACAATGCCTTAAAAAAAAAACCCACAAAATAAATAAATAAATAAATAAAATTCTCATGTTCAACTAGAACTATATTTAGATTTTCTAATTTGTAGAATAGATTAAACATCAGTTTACATGCCGTCCTGGGTTAATTGCATTTTCTTCATTCTTATGCTTATTTAACATTTCTTTTTTGAGTTTTATTTTAAACTGGTTTACATTACTACTGTCCTTTATTTATTATTATAATGCTAGCTGTGGTCGTAAGGTGGCCGGTGCCAGTCGTGGTGGCAACCCCCGTACCCGCTGGTGGACACCAGAGGTTCGGGGAGCCGTCAGGCTGAAGAAGGAGGCCTACAGGGCGTGGCTGGTCTGTGGGTCTCCGGAGGCAGCAGACAGGTACCGGATAGCCAAGCGGGGTGCAGCAGTGGCAGTTGCCGAGGCAAAATCTCGGGCGTGGGAGGAGTTTGGTGAGGCCATGGAGAAAGACTATCGATCGGCTCCAAAGAGGTTCTGGCAAACTGTCCGGCGCCTCAGGAGAGGAAGGCAGCAACTCGCTCACACTGTTTACAGTGGGGATGGGGAGCTGCTGACGTCAACTGAGGCTATAGTTGGACGGTGGAAGGAATACTTTGAGGAGCTCCTCAATCCCACCAATGCGCATTCCGAGGAGGAACCAGAGCTGGGAGGCCTGGGGATGGACTGTCCGATCTCGGGGGCAGAAGTTGCTGAGGTAGTCAAACAACTACACAGCGGCGGAGCCCCGGGGGCGGATGAGGTTTGTCCTGGGTATCTCAAGGCTATGGATGTTGTAGGGCTGTCATGGTTGACACGTCTCTGCAACATTGCGTGGTCATCGGGGGCAGTTCCTAGGGAGTGGCAGACTGGGGTGGTGGTCCCCATCTTTAAGAAGGGTGACCTGAGGGTGTGTTCCAACTATAGGGGGATCACACTCCTCAGCCTCCCTGGAAAGGTCTACTCCAAGGTACTGGAGAGGAGGGTCCGATCGATAGTTGAATCTCAGATAGAGGAGGAGCAATGTGGTTTTCGTCCTGGCCGTGGAACTGTGGACCAGCTCTATACCCTTGCAAGGGTGATGGAGGGGGCATGGGAGTTTGCCCAACCAATCCACATGTGCTTTGTGGATTTGGAGAAGGCTTATGACCGTGTCCCCAGGGGCACCCTGTGGGGGACGCTCCAGGAGTATGGGGTGGGTGGCTTTCTGTTAAGGGCCATTCAGTCCCTTTACCAGAGGAGCGTGAGTTTGGTCCGCATAGCCGGTAGTAAGTCGGACCTGTTCCCAGTGAGGGTTGGACTCCGCCAGGGCTGCCCTTTGTCACCGGTTCTGTTCATCACTTTTATGGACAGAATTTCTAGACGCAGCCGTGGTGTGGAGTGTGTCGAGTTTGGTGGCAGGAGAATCTCGTCTCTGCTTTTTGCGGATGATGTGGTCCTCCTAGCTTCATCCAGCTCTGACCTTCAGCTCTTGCTGGGTAGGTTCGCGGCCGAATGTGAAGCGGCTGGGATGAGGATCAGCACCTCCAAATCTGAGACCATGGTTCTCGACCGGAAAAGGGTGGCTTGCCACCTCCGGGTCGGGGGAGAGGTCCTACCTCAAGTGGAGGAGTTTAAGTATCTCGGGGTCTTGTTCACGAGTGAGGGTAGGAGGGATCGGGAGATCGACAGGCGGATTGGTTCGGCGTCTGCAGTGATGCGGACGCTGAGCCGATCTGTCGTGGGGAAGAGGGAGCTGAGCCAGAAAGCCAGGCTCTCGATTTACCGGTCGATCTACGTCCCAATCCTCACCTATGGTCATGAGCTTTGGGTAATGACTGAAAGAACGAGATCGCGGATACAAGCGGCCGAAATGAGTTTCCTCCGTAGGGTGGCCGGGCTCAGCCTTAGAGATAGGGTGAAGAGCTCGGACATTCGGGAGGGACTCGGAGTAGAACCGCTGCTCCTCCGGATCGAAAGGAGCCAGTTGAGGTGGTTTGGGCATCTGGTCAGGATGCCTCCTGGACGCCTCCCCGGGGAGGTGTTTCGGGCATGTCCTGCCGGCAGAAGGCCCCCGGGTCGACCCAGGACACGTTGGAGAGGTTACATCTCCAATCTGGTCCGGGAACGCCTTGGGGTCCTGCCGGAGGAGCTGGTGGACAAGGCCGGGGAGAGGACGGCCTGGAGCTCCCTAGTTGGGATGCTGC